TTGGGTTTGTTTGTTCACATCCTTCTGTAAGTAGTCATACAATTTCCACCAAAAAATATTGGTACAAATATCTGTAAGTGCACATATTGTTGTAAAAATGATTAAAACATAAAAATTACACATGTAGTGAAAATTCTTTGTCACATTATGAATTGATTTTCTTCAAAAACTTAACATAAAACAGTGCCCAATAGATACAATTCCAATACTAAAAAAATAAATCAATCAAATAAATAAATAAGTATTTAACAAAATTATGAGACCTATATTAAAAAAAAATCTAGATCTCTACACAGAAGGACATGTATCATTTAAGATTCGTTTACAATTTTAAATTCTCACTGAGAAACCCTTGTTCCTGGATTTACCAATAATGACTTAAGTTTACCCAGAATAACTATTTTCTTAACAAGGAGGGTCTACTTCTGTATATTTTTCTGTCCAGAGGAGGAGGGTGAGGAAACCATGTGTCAATTCACTTAAAATGTGACCAGCCTTGGTATCAAACAGTTTATACCAAGTCTGGTCCCAAAGGTGCTATATACAGTATTCCATCCATTTACACCAAACCTGGCAGTTTTCTGCAAACCTTTTGATGCATGGGAAAAATATATTAATATGATGCCAAATAATCTTCTGCATAGTCACTCCAATGACTACACAGTGCAATGCAAATACTTTATACTGAAGTCATGTTTGTAGCTAGCCAACCTCTTTTAGCATTTTTGCACACAAAGCATATATTCAGCATGTTTAAAACTCCTTGCATTTTAATGCACCAGTTTGATAATTCTCGTACTGGCACCAACTGGCTATCGTAGGCCGCTGAGAGTGGACTGATTGATAGTGCATTCCTTGTAGAGCTAGGTAAAATGACATAACACATGGCAATATAATTCTGCTACATTCAACCACTCGTGCTCAAACAACTGCATAGTTTGCCTGTATGGATGGACTGGCCATATGAACCCCACACCCTCCCGATAGTAACCAAATGGAGCAAGTTCCCATCCAGACAGATTGTTGTACGTGACAGGTAGCGACTTTATCAGAGCACTGATCAGCTGTCTTAAGAGCCTTGCATCTCAGTGGGATCTACGTAAACTTAAAGCTTAAAGAGCAGTGCTTTTGTTCTCTTTAGTTTACTCTAACCAATGTAGTGTGACTATCTGGCTAAAAATAATGGCCTGAAAAGTATTTGGAAAGATAGGTGTCTGGATTTTTGGTCTGTTTGGGAGAATACCTTCCAGACTGCTGTTGTCTAAAGCACAGGCATCTCTCTAAGGCCATATGAGTACATTTGAAAATACTGTTGGTTTTTTTTTTTTTTTTTGGTAATAGATTTTTAAAAAAAGATGACCATACTAAAACACCTGTGCTGCTGAATATAGAGAAATTGTGCTTACTAGGACTGGGCATTGATATAATATTGCTATCCTGATAAATTATGTCCCAATACACTTTTCTGAGCTATCACAAGTATCACTACTGTGTGGTTTTTAAAATAACAATTTCTACTGAACCATTAAGATCGTTAAATTTAATATTTAATGTCTAGAAAAAGAAATATTTTATCATAGAATTCAGATTTTCTTTTTTTGGGCAACACTACTGTTTTGCTGGCTTTGTTTGCAGACTTACATATTGCGATACATATTGTAGAAATGTATTCAAGTATCATGATATATTTGTCTGAATCAAGAAGTTAAGGCAATTTAGGTGGTTTTAGTGTGATGCTCCCCAGCAAAGATAGACAAATTAAGCAGAACAAAGGCTCTTTATGCAGTTGGTGTAAGCACTGAGAGCGCAGAGGTTGGTGATACTGCAGTGAGCACAAAGGATGACTTGCACACAGGAGTGCTTCTGTATTGTACATAGCTTTGTTCGGTTGTAAAAGAGTGACCAAATCAGCACTCACAGGAGTTAAATTTTCTAGCCCTGTATTTTGCATATGATGGAGCTGGATCACATGACAAATCAGAGTACTGTCACAGAACAACAGACTGGTGATTTCATATATCTTTGTTTGATTCCTTCCATACAGCAACTCTTAAAAATCAACATGAAAGCATTTTCCAAAAAAAAAAGTTCCATTATGAATAGAAAGCAAAAATAGTGTGTGTTTTTAAATCCATATCAGTGTGAACATGGCCTCAGATTTACTAGCCACATTAAAGTTTCATGAGATGTGGCTGATGTTGCAGCGTCAACAGAAAGAGCACACCTGAGTCTTGATAGTTTGAGTAGCATCACAACATGTATTTTGTGAAGATTTGTCTTTCATTTTTTTAAACCTTAAACCCTTTTAGTGTGATTCTTGATGTCCTACCTGGTAGCCTTGTAACTGCTTTCAGCTACTATGTTGAAAACTGAACCTTGGCTCTTCTGTCCTGAAGAACTTCTGTATGTGTTGATGAAAATTTTCCAGGATCCAAATTATTCTACAAACACTAACCTCTCTTCAGAAAATTGCTCCTAAATAATTTAAAGTGCATTAGAATTAGTGCCTTAATGTGGAATGTATAATGAGGCGAGGCTTTCCACTCAGACCACGGAAAGGCAGCACTGGTCACCATTACGGCTGGGGAAAAAACGTGGGATCCTTCCCGATGTTTGTCAGCCATCATTATAGTTCTCAAGCCTGGGACCAATTATGGATTTTTTTCTGATTTCACTAATGGTTTATTATTTCAGGCCATCACAGCTCAAGGTTTCTTTATATTCTAGCCATGCACCAGCACCTTCTTTCTGAAGACTGGCCACCTCAGCTAGTTAAGCTTCTTAAGTTCTTGCTAACTTCCACCACACAGTTCACCAAGTTCTCAAGCCATGGGTCTAGGTTTGACTTGAAAATTGGTAGAGATACATGAACGTTAAGTTACCCTGTGTGTATATATGTAATTTGGAAAAACAACCTATCCAGCAGTTGAATATGTGATTTAAATATGAACAGGATGTATGTTTGCTATTGGTCAACCACCATATGCATATGCAAATTAACATGCAAAACTTACTCACACCATTAACTGAGCCACAGATGTGTATTCTAGCAGCCACATAGTAACTGAATCCACACAGATGAATAAAAAACATTATAATTTTTGGACTTTAAAGGAGATAATCATGCTTAAATGGAAGCTACAGTTAGTAACAAATCTTATGACAATGAAGCACAAGTTTGCCTATTGGAGTCAGTTTACATCTAGATAAATTTACAGCTAACTAACTAAAAAGTAGGACCGTAGGCACAATACTAATAGCTAGACATGGTCCTACCTGATATCTAGCTAGAATAATGTATTTCAATGAGGGAACATAAGAAATATTTCCTTTTAATCCTTTGAAAGTCAAAGTTTGTGTTTGTTTTGGGTTCTCAAAAAACTGGGAAGTGCGCCTCGCAGTGAAAAGGTGTACATAAGTCTGTAGAGATTGCATTTTAGTGCATAAAATGTGTATCCCTTCCATTGCTAACATGAATATTGCTAGCTTGGAGAGTGAGGGAACTTCCTCACTGAAACAGCAGGTGACCTAGAGACATTAGTAAGGTGATTAGGGATGGGTTGAGTCCTCATTCCTCATTGCACCTAACCAGTTCCATATCACTGTGCAGCATTATATAGTCCATAAATATGATTTACCCACAATAATTACCAATTTACTTGCTCCTTTAAGAATTCTTAACTAATTTGGGAAAAGGCTGGAAGATGAATGAGAGGTGTACATTTTCTGCAGTTGGTTTGTTTTTCACAGAATGCTGTGATCTGTGTATAAAAAGGGGTTTATGGCATGCATGTAATAGATTTCAGCTCTAGTTGACCTGAATGCAGGTGGTCCACTGTACTGAAGGATTGTTTACACTGTGTGTGTGTGTGTGTGTGTGTGTGTGTGTGTGTGTGTGTGTGTGTGTTACTGACATATATCTCATTGTTGAGTCTTTGCTTCAGCTATAAGATGGTAATCAGACTCTAAATGGCGAGTCGAATTCACTTCCCATAGACCAGATTGTTACTAAGCCTGGCCATTTAGTAAGAAGTGTAATCTGAAACATTGTTGGGTTTTTGTGTGTATTAACCACTCTTGACTGAGGACAGAAATGCTGATAGAATCTAATAGTGTACTTTAACAGTTTAGTCATGCAATGATCCAAATGTCAACTGGATCAGGTCTTTTTTTTTCCTGCGGTTTTGTCTCAGGATTTTCCGGCTTTGCCTCATTACGACCCAGTCTTGAAGAAAGGGCAAATGCTTTCTGACTGGCATTGTGTTGTGATTGGCATCCTGGCTCTGTGTGTATGTGTGTGTGTGTTCGAGAGAGCGTAAGAGAAGGCAGGGGTTCTTTTTGGCTCTTTCCATTAAGGAAAAAAAGCAAAGCACCCTCCACTCTGGCTTGGTGTAGTTGCTGGCCAATTTCCTGTTCCAGGTCAATGAGTGTATTGTACACTTTGCTTGTCCAGACTCCCACTTCCAAATGTAAAGTGACCTTTTCAACTTAAGCAGACGTTCCACAGCCACAATAATAATCTGATCATTTTCCAGTGTAGATGTTTGATTCTCTTCTAGTCAGTTTCCTTCTTAGATCTCATACATTTTACGCTTTTTTAGATCTCATGCATTTTACGCTTTATATATCATGTTTATGGAAAATAATGTTTCTCCTGTTGAGTTTATTAGGTTTTATAATTAATAGTATGATAAAGGAAAAAGCTGAAACAACTTAAATGGTAAAAATATCAAAATAGAATTACCATCAATCCATCCATTTTCCATACCACTTATTCTACACAGTGTCATGGGCGAGTCAGGAGCCTATCCCAGGAGCTCAGGGAACAAGGCAGGACACACCCTGGATGGGGTGCCAACCCATCACAGTCGCAAACCATGGACAATTTGGAAACGCCAGTCAAGCTACAGTGCATGTCTTTAGACTTGGGGAGGAAACCAGGGTACCCGAAGGGAACCCCCAAAGCACGGGGAGAATATGCAAGCTCCACGCACACAGGGTGGAGGCGGGATTCGAACCCGCAACCCCAGAGGTGCGAGGCAAACGTGCGAACCACTACGCCACTCAGTTCTCAGTTTCTCAGTTAACTTTTCCAAAATTTTGAACTCTCAGCAGAACTCTTAGAAAACTTAAGAAAACTTCATTAAGTTAACAGGAAGAAACGTAATATGCAGGTTTATGAGCTCTTCTCGTAAACGGTAAAGATAAATAAAAAAAAAAAAGGTAAGAAATTATATAATTCCACTTCATGGCTCATCTCCTATACACACTGGTGGCTTTAACAGAGAAAACAAACACAGTGGAGTGAATAGGCCCATTTAGCAGCTTATAATTGAACCTGACCCAGTCATGCAATTAATTGCAACCCATAATATTTGTGCAGCAGTGCGGTGTTGGGGCGCCATGACCTCAGCATTGGGGTCATGAGCTGTCTGGTCAGGAGAGTCGTGTCTCGTCTTGTTGAGTTCGAGTCTTGGTTGCAGTGTAACTTGAGAATGAGTATTTCTGTGGCTTAGGCCCGGGCAATGGCTTCAGGGGTTAGATACTTACCCATCCTAATTTGTCCCCTTTTTTTGTAATAGAAATGTTAGCATGTATTATAAGTGCCTTAAACAGATACCCATTTCGTTAGTTTGTGTTTTGATTGAGAATCATGTTGCTATGTGCTGTGACTAGGATCGTTGCTGTCTGGAGCTGAAGTAGTTTTTATTCTGGTTTGCGTTGTTGTGCAACACAAGAATTAGACCTTGTGTCACACATAATATTTTTGACAAACAAACATCAATAATAGCGTAAGCCCCTAACCCCATGATATAAGATTTTTTGACACACTGGAAATTTACATATGCTACTGTTAGAGGAGGTTTGTTCTTACTAAGGAATCACCCTTTTGTACTGTTTGTCATTAGGGAGAAATTTGGTGGGCTTGTAGAAAGACAGTTTCTCTTTGAAGATAATTTATCTCCAGATGTCCTCGAATCGCAGTGCGCACAGAGCGCGGTGACTAATTGCTGGTACCGTTGTAAGTCCCTGTGGGACACCAAGAGCAAGACAAACAAGTGTCCCGTGGGTCTGTCTTCTCAAATATATAATTGGGACCAGAACACATTTTCGTGTGTGTGTGTGTGTTTGTGTATGTGTGTGTATGTATAACTGGACATGTACATATGTATGATGAAGCAGGGTTGTAAATGAGTCAGATGTTGGATTCTTCTTGTTTGTGTTTGCTTTGATTTTTTATTTTTATTTTATTTTATTTTTTTATTTTTTTACCATTTTTTAAAAATAATTTAAAACCGCTTAGAAGTGAGACAGAATGTAATCCAAGAATATAGTCTCCTACTCCAGTACTACTCGGGACTTGCCAAAATATTTACGACCGAGTGAATCAGTAATAAATTTTAAAATGAAATATATGACTAGATTTGTCTCCATGCAGGTCAAAAGCAGCATGAAATGACAGTTTTTAGGTTTGTCCCATTAAATCCCCTGTACAATTACAGTACAACTGCGAGATGTGGCAGAAATTCTCTCATTATTAACCTCATGTCAGGGCAAATAAATAATACACATTGGTCTGTTCTGGTTCTTGGGTTAACTGCACTCTGACACAGTGCACAGATGCGGTGCCAGAGCTGAGATTTTGATTTATTGTAAATTATTAAATATAAATATTTAAAAAATTTAATTTATTTATTTCTATGTATAGACCATTCACAAAATGCTCTTTGGCAAAGCACTATATGTGGTGGATTGTTTGACATTGCACTGTGGTTCTAATAACGATTTCCATGTTTAGCTCTGCTTTGAAAATTTGATTTTAAGTGAAGATGACTATTTAATCATATTGCACTAATCACGCAATAGTAGTCATTTAACCAGGGCATGTTCATATATGCAGTATTCAGGCTATTCGAACTGTGGTGTATTTGCCCTCTCAGTACAGTACCTTTGGGCAGATGTGAACTCCACAGTTGTACTCAGCATTCAGGTGCAGTTGAGTTGCACTGAGAACACAGTTTAACCCTGATTTGACCCAATTGCAGAAAGTTTCCAATGAGTTTCCAAAGACTTTTTGATTACGTTTCCAGCCCTGTTCCTTCCCATATGCCCCTTAGCAAAGGTTTTATTGTTTTTCTGGTCCTCTTAAATTTATGAACTGTCAAAATAGATCAGGCCAAATACAAAACTTGCCAAACATTTTGCTCTGAATCAGCCTAGCAAGCAAACTAATAACTGAGAAAGTGTGCTTACTTTTACCATCCTTAAAGTGTTTAATATGTTCAGCTTTAGTATCAAAACCATTTCCCAAATTTGCTTAAACAGTTCTGCAAAGCTGGCTGTTTGAAGATTTGGTTTAAATTTTATATATATATATTTTTTTGCACTTTCAATCAAAAGAAACAATCCTAAAAGTTGTTGTGTATTAGTTTGTTACAACTGTGCACTTTCACATTTCCAGTATCACACAAATTTTGTCAGAACATGCTAAACTGTAATTGTTATTGTGGATGTGTAAATGTATACAATTTATTCATTGTTCTCACACAGCAGGAGCCTGATGAAATAGACTGAAATTTGCATTTCTTTTAGATCTTTCAAACACACACCCACACACACGCACACAAACACATACACATATTCAAAATGCATTAAAAGAACCAATTCAGGGATCTTATTACAAACACTTCATACAAATAGAAGTAGTTTTGTCAGTTTTCAGTCCAAAGTAATGATGTCTGAGCCTAATAAGTGCATTGACCTTGTGCTAAACGGTGAAATGATGGCCAGGACAAATGAAGAAGCCTTAAATGATCATTTAATGTTTTTTTTTTTTTTTTTTTTTTGGCCATCTGTGACAGTGTGCAAGGATCCGCCATATAAAGTGGAAGAGTCTGGATACGCTGGCTTTATCCTGCCTATTGAAGTGTACTTCCGAAATAAGGTACGTATAAAATTCTCTTTCCTTAGAGTTCACAATCCTCTCGTGTTGCATGAACGTGCTAAATTTGAGTGCACGCTTTCCTGTTTACCAGGAGGAGCCGAAAAAAGTGCGCTTCGACTACGATCTGTTCCTGCACTTGGAGGGTCATCCCCCTGTCAATCACCTGCGCTGTGAGAAACTCACCTTCAACAACCCGACAGAGGAGTTCCGCAGGAAGCTGCTAAAGGCCGGAGGGGTAATGTACATGCGTGCATAGCATATTCATTTGCATTGCTCCTGCCACTGAATTTCATGGGATGAAAACTGAAACTGTCTGCTGAATAGAACTGAGATAAGGAATAAGGCTCAAGAATACACATTATGCTGGTCATTCATTAACATACAATACACAAAAAAGGTAATATATATATATTCTACCTAATCCACTACGGTATAAATTATCATTGAAGTTGGATTATTTTTACTGGAATGAACCTGAGTGGTTTATGTTACTGGTCAGTAATTTTTAGGATGTAGTCAATACCGTCACGAAATATAACAGAGTTGAAATTTCGTCCTTGAACATGCTGGAAGTAAATCCTCACTTACTATTCTGTTTTTATCAGTTTTAAGCTATTTTAGTTTACATTTCATGTGTAGAATGAGCATTTGCCCTCTAGATTACGTTTTGTTTCAACAGCACATATGGGTGATGTGGGTGATATCACAGAACGGCTATTTATCATTTTAAGGTTTCCGAATCAGGGCTCCGTCCCAGCTTTACGGTATGTCTGTGTTTATGTGGGTGGTGTCTTCAGGGAGAGCTGTGGGCGCACACACACACGCACACACACACGCACACAAACCCACAGCAAGGTGAGGGTGTAGTGCTGTTCCATTAAGTTGTTTGCCTCTGCAGAGCTCCACAATAAAACCCACTGTCAGTGAGTTAGTCTTAATGGAATTACAGTTCTCATCAGCCAAGACCAGTAACTTCTGCAGGATGAATTAAAGTGGGCCAGTTCCAGCCTGAACCATCCATCACTACAGGACACACAGACTGTTCTTGGTCCCATGCCAGAGGACACCACATTCTTTTTTTTTTTTTTTTTGTATATGTTTGGTGTGTTTGTTTGTTTTTTTTTTTTACTTCAAAACTAAGTTGATGATAGGATCACATAAAGCATGAGTCATTCTTTTAAAAATGTCATTATCTAAGGAAATGATCACATTGGTATGCGCTTGTATGTCGTGTCTTCTTGATTCTAGTTTTGTTCCAGGAATCAGACTGTAGCTGTGGATGTGACCTCATTTCCCTTTGTACTAGTTGGTTTATAGACAGAGCATAGCATGAATTGAAGCTGTTGATTGACAGCGAGCGGTTATACTGGAAGTTGTTTAATTAAAAAGACCTGTTAGGATGTCCAGTATCAATCTAACTTGGCAGGGACTGAAAGGTCGTTTTCAATTTACCTGATGGATTTTGTCCTTACATCATAAAATAAAGTACAGTGTCTTTTGTCAAGGTTGTTTTTTTTTCTCTCACTCACTTTCTATCCAATTGTTTGCTTTCTATTTTGATAGCAACGAGATCCTCACAAAAGAAGTTCAGAAGACTCTAAAGTAAGGATCTGTTTGTTTGTTTTTTAATTAACAGTGTAATTAATAATCATTACATATGAAATGTTTGCAGAATGTGAGACACCATGTTACAAATTCATCAAAAACCACAAAACCAAGTTTGTTAGATCTTCATTTTCAGCATAGCTTCATTCATCAGAGTGTTCCTCACATAATTCTTGTGATCTGAGTGGGTTTCTTGTTATCCTCAGGTGATGGTCATGCAGGAAGGCTCCACGTCTCTGTTCGGTCAGCACCTTAAGCTGCCCACTTTACCCAGCAGCTCACTGACACTGAACTTCTCTGATGGCAAAAAGAACAAGTCCTTTTCAGGAGCAAAGGTTAGTATAAATATCCAGGTTTAGCCCCTTACAGCTTGCAAACTAAACCAAAAGAGCCGTGACTCACTAAAAAAAAAAGCTTGTTTACCACCAAAAGAATTCCCAGCTTTTCAAAGAGCTCTTCTTAATCTTCCATATTTGGCAAGTTCAAATATGTTCAGGGCATTTAGCTGAGATTTTGTGAGA